GCTGAGTCACCCGGCCCCCACCCGAGCAAACGTCAGCGCCTGTCTGTGGCCGTCAAGATTAAAGATCATTATTTGAAGATGTCTCGAGACTGTTACGGAAAGACCAAGTCAGACGAGCCGTCTTCGATGGGATTCAGGTTTGTAATACTGACAAAATAATGAATATAGTAGAACAATCTGGACGGACTGATAATGGAAACTTTGCGATACCGGCATCTCGTTTAATAACAGGGAGACTTCATTATTTTCATTCTGCGTGCTGACCATCAAAGATGAAGACCATGAAACAGGCGAGGTATCGGGCGTGTAACCTACCCTTCATGTTGAGCGTCTATATTAAGACCATTTATATACAGCTCTATGTCAAAGACCAACATATTTAGCGATGCTGTTTGGGGTTGACCGATCATATTTGCAATCAGTCTGTTTCAAAACAAATCTTCAAAATGCACCTTTGCGATCGACTCAACCTTATTTTCAATGATTGTCCCACTGTTTCAAAGGATATTTTAGTATCTTTTTGTTGTTTTTTGCTGATCGTATTTCCTTATTCATGAGCGAAACTATGATGTCATCCTAGGATAGGAAGAAAGCCTTGGTGTTACATTGATTACACAAAAATTCCCGCATTTTTGTCGATTCTTCTCAATTAAAGTTTCTCTTTTTTGCCAATTCATTGTTGTGTATGTGCACATCAATAAGCAAGCATCGATCCCTTCAGAAATGTCTTCAGTAAGTATAATATTGTGGGTTCACAATTTGAACAGAAAAACCTATGCACTGAACTATGCACTGCAAAAACTGTGTTATCAGAGGACTACACCAACACTTTTCAGTGGTGTTACAATTTTTTGTGTTATTTCAACACCCTTGGTGTTACGTTTAACGCCCTCCAGCGCATTGTAACACTGATAAAGTATAAAGTAACACCAGTGATATTAAAATGACGCATTGTGTTATCATCTAATCACACCCCCAAAGTGTTGTTTTTAACACCAGGGTTTTTGCAGTGTGCCTTCCCTGGATGACATCACAAAAACAGCGCCCTCGGTTGTCCTGGAAAGTGTGGATCATCTTTGGCATCGTAGCCTAGCGCCCGAACAGGGCTGATGGCCTTGCACTGTGATTGGTTACATTGCACACGACCTGCGACCCGGAAGTTACCACTTCCAGTTAGCGAAACATTATGTTATTTTTAAGATTCGCCATTGGCAATGCTTTGGCACAAGCAAAGTGTGGGCCATATGATAAAAGCATGGCCCTGGTACACTCATAGTAGCAATTTTTCTTCTCAGATGATCACGTGTCTTTTGGTGATATATTTCTCATCTTGTTTTTTAATCTTCATCAATTTTGGAACTAATAAAGTGTATTGAGAATATTTTCAGCCACGAGGAAGAAAGAGCAAAAATATCTAATTGATAACGGCGCCCAACAAAAAGTTTACTCACAATGCTCTGCGCGTCGTTAGCTGTGACCCTGTGTGACGTATTGAAATCTGTGCAAATCTATCAGCCCTTCCCAGTGCCCTGTTCGGGCTCTGGGTGACGAGCGAAGGATAATCCTCGGCGTTGAAGAAAGTGCTCTTTTTTGATGCGCTTAACCAAAAAGGAATATAAAAGAGTCTCCAAACACTGAAGAAGAGTGCAGAAAAATTTACTGCAGCTACACGACCATGGTGCGGAGGATCTTCCAGGATGCAATGTACATGTATATGGGTATACCCTTTTTGCAACATTGGCAAATTTTGTTCACACGTGCCAGGGCCAAGTAACATCCATGGTACAGGCAAGGGACGGTGCACAGGACTCCTGAAATGTTACAGACTGTATGGCAGAACAAAGTTACATGGTGCAGGGTCTACTTCTAAATATGTCCACTTTACAGTGTAGCCTCGATGTCAGCTCTGACAAAATTGCAATGTACATCTACGCTCACATTTACACGTAAAAATACCGAAGTCAATTTCTTATCCATTATTTAAGGACTTCACTTTGAAAACACACATAACCACAAACACAATGCACCGCTATGTAAAAATCATTTTTACGTTACGAGAGAAGAAGGCACACAAATCAAGGTTTACCTTTTGGGGAGGAAAATCTTCATAGATCTAGATGCAAAGCCTGCATCCTTCTAAATGCCGGGTCGTAGTACTGCGCATTTCAAGCATTCAAGAACCACGCACTTAATTGTGAATTCGATACGCCGAAAGCCCATCTGTCAACTCTGCAAAATTGAAGAACACGAAACGACGGTGTTAACGCAAGGACACCAATTCTCCACACTGGTAGCACCGATAAGCAATCATTTTTGATCGGAAGTTGCATAGAAAACAAGCAAACTATCGTGAAAGGTACACTGCTTGCCTGCTACTGGACTAATATAGAAAAAATAACGCACCTTTTGAACAGCAGATAGACCAGGCCTACAGCAGGGCATCAGCAGCCGCCAAATCGCTGAATGATATGATCGACCGTTTCCTGTTTTGAGCGAAAACGAACGATGCCGCTCGTCGTCCGGCACCCGAGAGCTGAAGTACTTGCTAATTATAGCGCCCTCTCTGAACAACTTAACGAGATTATTAGAAAGCATGCACAACGGTGAGATCGATCACCAACTGTGACGCATGGGTGACGTCTGTACGGGTAGGTTATCGTTGTGGGCACGGCAGTGTCAGGTGAGTCCCCTCACAATTTTGCCATTCCCTCTCCGCAGTCTTGGCAGGGCGTTTATCATTCTGTGCCAACGATCGTTCTTGAAGATCGACCCCGGCACTAGCGAAAGATTTCAAGACACTGCGCCACAAAACGCCACGTCTGCGATGTGCGCGCCGGAATTTATCATTCTTGACAAGTTTGCTTGGTAAGTGTTCGCAGCCCGCAGGATTTAATGACATATTTCTTTTCGTGTTTACACAGGCTTGTGGCTTGCGAACCTTCGGGACTGAAATGACTCGCTTAGGTAATTTTCTTCGGAAACTGCTGTAAATCACTGGGGCACCTGGAAATTGTGTGCCTGAGGGGTATTTTCATTTATTTTTCTCTTCTCGACCCCACACCCGAGAAAGACAAAAGCTCAGCATGAATTTTAATAAGTTACGCAAGTCATTTTTCTTTTGTGTATGAACTGCCTGAACATCCCTAAAAAAGTGTGGTTGTATCATGATCCACTACAGGGTGCGTTATGAACTTTTAATCGAGTCTCAAATATTATCCACTTTTGTGTATTTGAAATTTAGATTATCATTAAATTTGTCCCCAAATAAACCCCATATTGAACGTACGTCTTGAACATGATACGATTACCATGTATTTTTAAGTTAGTAATGACATTTAATTAAGATACATTCCTGATCATCATGGTGCATATATTCTCAGTTTTGCTTTTCTTTCGTCGCTGCTGGCCAACACCTTCCCTTCAACGAGCCGTCATTTATAGTGTGCTGATTTGTCGTTCATCAAATAGATTCCTTCATACATGGGAGCAAATTGTACCTGTGTGCTCGTGTTAACAGTGGCGCTAAATGGTAATGGCTTGAACAATATATATAACTGACCATTGTACACCGGCTATTAGGCTATGGAAACTGAATAGATAAGCAATACTGTTGGAAGCCCGCGGGTGGTGGTTAGCTATTCAGTTCTCAACTAATTATAAAGAATGCGCAGTGTTAGTGAAAAATAAATGCAAATAAGTAACTGTCTTATGATTGCCAACAAAAATATGGCAAACGTATTTTTAATCACATGCAGGGGGGGTCTAGGAATTTTTTTAGCGATGGGAGTCAGACCCGTAAGATTTTCGATGTCCCATTGTTGCAGACAGGCGGAAACAAAGGTAATATATTATATTACATTGTTACTGTTGCATTAAAACCCTATACACGTCACATGATGTCATCCACGCCCAACTGAAGTTAACATTCGTTTCCTAATTTTGTTTACGACTCGAGAATATTTTAAGAATGACCCAGATCAGTACTGTCCCGTGAACGGTATGGAATTCTAGCCGTCACATCCGCTCCAAAATCCACAGCGACGGATGAAAATAAACTTAGGGGATACACACCGCCTGAATCCATATTACAGTCATCGCGTATCTGAAATACTTTGACAGCTGCGGTAGTCTAGCGCCCAAGGCGCTGCTTATTTGTTTTTGTATTTGAGGCGTTGCAGGGATCCATATATTGTGTGGAAGATGATCTTCACAGGTGAAGTCTATTTTTGCCGATACATCAGCGTGAGGTGATGACTAGCTGTGTTTTAGGTTGGCAGTCGGCAAATATACCTGAAGAGTGCAAAACGGGTTTGCACCACACAAGCTTCTGAAGTAAAGGCGTTCTCAAAGCCAAGATTCATGTTATCACAAATTACACACACGCTGGATAATCTTCCCCTCTCGTACCCTTTCCATTAACTCTGTCGTCAAAGGAAGAGATAAAATCACACAATGTCCTGGGAAAAAAATCATGGTTATTTCTTTCAAGTCACCGTATTCACTTTGCTCATTATTTCACGACTTCTATAAAATAGCAAATGTTTTGCCAACGCATTTTCTTTCGAAGTACAAAATAGCCACAATATCTTGGATGAAAAAGAAAACTTTGCAAGCAGCCCCCACTCAAAAGCCTCATTAATTTTTGAATAGAAGTAAATATTTCACAAAGTTATGGTTTCGTAAAAAATGTACTTTCTATTTGACAAGATCGGTCGTTCAAACACATTGGACATGTTAGGCATTCGAGCACCATTTGAAGCTACAGAGGGTGGGAGCTCGATTCCTTAGGCCTTGTTTGCTACTTTTGCTTATTTTGAAACAACTTGGCACCACTGACGTGCCCACCAAAACGGGAAAGAAATTGGAAGGCTTCAAGCGATCCATCCATCCCTGATGAACAGTGCCTATCCCTCTATCCACTACCCCGATGTGCGCGTAACAACGAAACATGTACACGTACACCACAGCAAAAAATAGACAGATGCCCGGAAACACAAACGTTGGAGTGCAAGAGGATGAAACGAAAAAAAAACACATTAAAAACAGGTACCAAAACACAATGAATGATCTTCACATTAACTCAAAGAAGTATTAACATATCTGTGGGGAATCAAAACATGTATAACTTGATGAATATAAAAGAAATTTACACATTTGAATGATATGCATAGTTCCATAAATTCATGGCGAATGACGAAGTAAGTTGTGGAGTTTCACACAGGTATATCGTCATATTCACTGAACAAAGAAAGCTTTTAAAAGGACAGAAAAAAATTCAACAATGAAACATAAAAAGATAAAAAGCAATATAATATTTGTAACATTAAGGATGAAAATAACCATTAAAAACTGAATGAAACAGGAGGGCAATAGGGAATTTATATTGTTTTGAAGGAAAACACACATGGTGAGCGCTGTTCAGTTCCATGAAGACATATTTAGTATATCTAGGTATGAAAACATCTAGCTAAGTCACGAATGATAGTAAGATATCCTGCATTTCATATTATTAAATAAGCAATGCCCATTCTAGATGGTATAAATAGTTACACAAGTTTGGGATATTTGTAATTTGATTCGTTTAGAACAGCCACTTATTAAGTTTGGTAAAAATGAATGCAATATAATAAACGTACATCCACAACACTGCCTTGCATATCATGTTGCAATTAAACGAGGCCAGTCTCTAGGCAAAAATGGAGACAGTCCACAAAATTTACATGCCGATGATTTCCCTACTTGATTGCCGACTGTGAAATAAATTTTTGCCTTTTTAGTTTTAGTTTAAAAGACAGACACCCCTCCCCTCACCAACTATCAATTGTTTTTAAACTTGACAACCATTAGGGGCGCGTCTGTGAAGCTTCACAACACTCCAACACACAACATACTCCTACATATCAGGCTTTCTAGTCATGGTCATATGTACCATTTACCCTTCCAAGCACTGAGCACAAATCAAATCAACAGGAAAAGTTAACGTCTCCGGCCAATCACCTCGGAGAATGGGAATTTTAAAAAGATGTCAGATTTCCAAGGATTTCAAAATGACTGCAGGACACCAATGAGAGTATTCCTGATGACTCAAGACAAATAAAAACCACTGCGACCGTACTGAACCCTTGCCCCACATAACAACTGTCAACAAGTGTTGTTTAACAAGTCAACGAGGAGCTCTTTGCTTTTGAAGTTTTTATATCTAAGGCACACAGACCTATGAAACACACAGTGTGTCTCTGTTTCTCAAACTATTTTGTAAATTAAGAGCTAATTTTTGATTCTTCGACATGCAGTTAAAATCATTTGTGCAGGAAACATGTCATCTCTTAGTGCACGGATGTTCTTCAATTGATAAAATTAATTAACCTCTAAATTAAAAAAAGAGGGTTATCGACTACGTCAAGGAATCTGAAACTGTAACAAATGTGCAAATTCATTTTACAAGTAATGCAACCCCGATGTCAGGAAATCCAATCTACCAAAAAAAAAACCTTCTTAATTGTTGTACAATTGCGAGGCACAGGTCCATGTATCTCTGTAAACGTGACGTCTCTTGCCCATAACAGGCACTTCTGGAGCTAAAGAAAGTAAGATTTTACTTTTTTAGTCGTCATTATGGCATAGAATCATTTAAGTTAGAATAACAGCTCCTAAAAATTGTTGATTACTAAACATAATCTGGCGATTTGATCATGTGACTGAGTTCTTTCATTTGTTTTTGTGTTCATGCAAGTCTTCTTTGCTGGTCCCCGGCCCTCTCACGTTTCACTTTAACGTGTTGTACAACTGGCCTTTCAATGTACCAACTAATGCCACTAAACTTAACATAGTTGCTAATGCGAGTATTAAGGCAGTGTTGATAACTGCAGCTGCCACATCACGACATCATCTTCATTAGATGAGGGAGCTAAAACAATCTGTGCCGAGTGGCTCCTGCAGCACACTTGTCATGTAGCTCAGGCCGCTCAAGAGAGCACACCGGGCAAGACTTTCGGGCTGCCAGTATCCTTACATTGTAAGCTGTTGAGCCGGTGGAATCGACATGAAGTGCCCCCTAGAGGATGAGATCAACTAGGTTCCCCTTTGGCTGTGACATGCTGTCTGGGAAGAAATTGACTAGTGTGTCAAACAGCTGCCGAACGAAGAAAAGAAAACAAGAAAAACAAATTTGTCTCAGTAAAGCTCACCATCCTCGGCACAAGTTTGGGTTGAAATTATTTACCAATGCCAAAAATAAACCCAATTTTTCATGCTATGTTAACTTGGACGTCCAGCAAATACATTAATAAGTTAGACTGCATAAGTTGTCATCCATTTTCCTGATCCTTGTCATGAGTGTACAAAAGGAGTGTTAGGAGGGGTTTACAAGCCTGTATACACTTTCAAAAACTTGGGAAAAGGTTGATCGGTCATCGTGTTTTCTTTGTGTATGCCATCAAAAAGGGGATGGAGTCAGTGGAAAGAGCACACAATTGTTTTTACACTTGTGAAAAGGGTAACAGTTAAAAACTATTGACTGGAATGATGTGGGACATGAGGTTTTGAATACCCTAGGGACGCATAACACCTGAGAATATCAAGGCCCTTTGGAGGTTGGGGGAGAAGGGAGAAAGTGGACCAACAGTAATTCTCTACATAGGCCGTGTCCCAATTGCTTGGTTGTGGCTTGAAATTACACACAATGGGAATTAGCTGTGGTTACTACTGCAGACTCTTGCGTAATTTCAGGACACAGCCAAATAATTGGGGAACAGCCTTTGTTGCCATGGTTTTGTTCCCATTCAGATGAAAACTGGTCATGCTCAGTCTTTGTCCCACGCTTGCACCAATGTGAGCCCGTGGCATGTTCTACAAGCTTATATGAGTAAGTCACAAAGTGGTGACTCAGACTTCCTTCAGATGACCTGCATACCTGAGTTCTTGTGGAATAGTGTGGGTGGGATTCTTCTGTGTGCACCGTTAGCAGGTGGTCAGGCACTTCTAGTCGTGGCCTGAACAGACTTGAGGCAAGCAGCTGGAACTGTGGGCAAAAACCAGAGCTGGGATCAACATGACATTTAAGGATCATCCACTGGCAAGCAGCGAACTTGCCATTTGTGGCAAACTCTTATCAGCAGGACTGGTGCCTGGGGGACACAGCTCTGAATTATAGGAAAAACAACTTCTTTGAACTTCTCTCTGTTTCAAGTCAACTGTCTTGTCTGATCAGAATTCTTTATCCAACAGGGAGAAGGGAAAAGTCTGCCAGCCTAGGTGGAGGCATTATCACATAGCCTACAAGGACAAGAAACACACCCTCAAAGCTAACAGCACTACCAGCCAGCAGTGCCGAGTGGCACAACCAGCCAACACTGCCAGACAGCACGACCAGTCAGCACTGCGAGTCAGCACTGCCTACCTACACAACCAAGCAATGTTGTCAGCCAGCACTTACAAGTTCACACTCAACAACACTTCAAACAACCTCACCTCTTTGGTTTCTTGCTCGTCCTTATGATTGACTGTCTCATAAAGCTCTGTTTGCAGGTACCTCAGGGCCTGCACGGGGTTGGACATGGCAATTTCTTGGAAGCGGTGTTTGCGTATCAGATGTTTGCAACGCCTTACTACCTGATCTTTCAGTGGCCTGACAAGCTGTTAGCAAAGTGAAGACACAGGGATTCTTACCCACATGTATTGTATGACTTTCCATACTTGTGTTGGCACTTGCCTCCCACTGAAAACTTCTTAAACGAAACTGCTTATTTTGTCATCTTCAAAATGAGACACTGACCCAACGTATCTATCCATGTTCAGTGAAAGATTTCTACCTAACATGAACACATACATGAGGCACTAAATTCAGCACGACGTTCATGCATATTAGTCACTGCAGAGTCCCACGCTGAATGTGTATGTAGCAACCTGAGGGGTTGGTTGACTTTGTGTCAAGGTGAGGTTAGAATTGAAGACGTGTATTTAGCTTGTAAGAGTGTTGTCAAAGTACTCATTTCAAGAGGATTTTCTTAGGCTATCTCTAACAGCTTTCTTCTAAATGATGTGGCCTACAGCACATGTGATGATATCAGAGTCTTCCACACAAGCTTCACAAAAAATGGCCTTGCGGGTGTCCAGCAAAACAAATGCAACTGGCCGTTTCTGTAGGCATACGTACCTCAAGCGACCAGAAGTCATCGAGGCGGATGCGCTCGGCCGTCGACCGGCCCGGGTTGCCCCCAAACAGATAGTGTTTCTTGTGCTTGTGGTCATAAGCCAGCTGGTGGGCAAAGCGGGGACAGGGCTCCACGCTCTGGCGACTGCTCCAGTACTGCTGATCGCTGTTCTCATTCTTGTACACACAGGACCTGGATGAAAAGAAGTTATTTCAATTTTGGAACAATGCTTATAGCAACCATAAAAGATGGAATGCGTCATGCCAGTGGCTTTGATCAGTATGAATCATTGATCCATGCCTTGGCCAAGTTTACCACTATTAGTTTCCTTTTGGCATCCATAAAAACAAGTTACTGGAAAGTCCACTTTGTATAAATAGGCATTTGCAGATTTTGGCAGCGTCACAAAATTATTCAACATTTAAAAATTTCACTGAGAAATGTGTGGGAGCCCTTAAAATTGCATCACACGTGCATCCCAGATACATGTACATCACAATCAAACTCCTCAACACTTCTCAATTGCATTAGATGAACAATTTTGTAGTGTAGGCTATGTAACTCACTGCCGGTTAAGGAAATTTTCTATCTGAAGTGAGTAGATGATAAAAGAACAGATTTTACCAATACCAGTTTACAAGCAGAATGGTCTAGCCTAATGAATTCACACGCGAAAGTACCCCCATTTGTAAAATGTTGTGATATTCGTTTGCCGTAAAGAAGACGAACATGTCAGGGTTCCTAGGATATCCCTGATGGATTTTCAAAATTCCAGGATAATTATTGTCCTGGCCAGAGAGATAAGGAGCAATATGCACAATGACAAGCCACTTTAGTCAATCATCCAGAGCACATGTTGATTGGATATCAATGAACGTATGTATAAACAGATTAACAAACTTCTCTTTTGTGCCTATTAAATTCCCTCATGTTTTCTCTTTAAGCTTTCTGAAGGTTACATTTGCATAATTTGAACTCACAAACGGCTTATTTGAGGCATTTTTCTCAACTCCTTGACTGGAAACAGGGACCAGGTTGCCCAGGATAACTGGGAACCCTGTATGAACATGTACACAGGCCATGAGTCTAGCATTCCTCAACAACATGGGGGGTATGTTCCCCAAGTGCCTCACTACCATCAAGCAATGCTTCACGTGCAGCCTTGCCATACAAAACTCACCATCTGTTTTGATTGATGTAGTAAACCCAGAAGGAGTTCTTGACGCTGTCGTCTTTCTTCTCTTTGTCCTTGCTCAAGCCCTGAAGACCAAGAAACAAGATCCTGGCTGCAGTAAATCCCATAAGTTTGTGCAAGATATCGATATTGTCCAAAAGCACCGATTGTAAAGCTTTAGATAATGCAGTACTACAGTCATTTCCAAAAGTTTAAGACCACCTTGAATTTTATTGGCATTTCTGTCACTGGGCATGTAGTACACTGTCTCATTGAATGATTACTTAACATGTTTTTACAGTGGTGCGTAACATCAGTGTAGTGCTATATACCTATTTGAATGAAATTTTTTGCAAAGGCAGGTCTTGTATGACATTCTGTCTGCAAGTCAGTATGGGTAAAGAAAAAAGCCAGTCTAAGCAATCAGAAATAAGGGAGGGCAGACTGAATATTCGACTGTTAACATATCAAATCGTGGAAATGTAGTCAAAAATGTTCAACCAAGGTACCAAGGTTACACATTGAATATAAACATAAGTTGCCATGATTGGTTTAAGTTTGGTTTTCCTTCAGGTTAATGCATTTTCTATGGGTGGTTCTAAACTTTTGCAGAAGACTGTAAAGTGACTACATCACACACACAATTATATGTGTAAATGGCATTAGTGCGAGAACCCGTGCTAAACCAACACGTGCCCATACTCCATTTGTTTGCAATACACTGCCTGGTTCAAAATGTTGTCAAACTTCGGTACTCCATGGTGAATGGAGATGATTCAGAGGCATAAGATACAGTGAAAGCAAGTTTAGTGACTAGTCACCAAGCACTCCACAGAGTAAAACAAGTGACTGCATTCCTAACTTTCCCAAACAGCCACACACTCTGAGTTTTAAAACGATACATCAAATGAAATGAGGAAATTAGAAAATGAATGCTGGGAGTAGAGGCCTCCATGTCCGTGCTCATCTACAATTTCACCAGGAAGAGCATGCTTTCTGATGATTTGAAGAGCATCTGTTCCCACACAAAAAGTCGGCAGTGCTGCAAGTTCATGTACATCAATCCAGCCACACCTTTTTCTTGGCTCAAAACATCAGTGATCGACAGCAGATCGCCAGTGCTGCAAAATTCCCAAAACATTAGTGCCAGCTGGTCGGGCGAGTCTACTGGCACCCTACAGGGCATCCCAATTTACAAAAAAATTTGCGTGCAAAGGGCGATCTGCTATAAATCACTGACGTCTTGGGCCAAGACTAACCACCCCCGTGCACAGTAACTTTAATTAAAAACTGCATTTTTAACATGCAGGTTGCATACACGTATATTGTGAAAAAATCCTTTGCATCTATTGTATTGTGCAGCTGAGTCTCTTCACAGTGCAGGTTTCTCAATCCTACAAGAACTCCAAGGACAGTGCTGAACGTACGCATGCAAGGAACGATTTTTCCGTCTAACTACACAGATTCCAAAAAGACTTTTTCCTTCCTTTTAATTTGCCCCCAGGAAGAACCTTTTATTTTTCAGGATTGCATAGCTTACCAAGGCAGTCAACAGAAAAAAATCCTCATGAAACCAATTTCATAATGGTGACCACTCAGCTTGAGTTAAATTGACCATTCTGGCTGGTAACGTCTGACCGGTTGCATCTGCGGGAAAAATGTACAGGTTGCATAGGCATGTCGATCACAAATGTTTCACAGAAACAAGGTTTGCACTTACCGATAACACGTGGATTTCGTTTAAGTCAGGATTGATCGTGGCTCGCTGGGTGAAGCCTGCTGCTGGTACTGTGGGATTGTTAAAGAAGAGTTTTGACTAATGTGTTGATTAGCATACTTTTTATTTCCTCTGCGACGAAAAAAATGATTTAGTGATTACTGACTGTTTATGTGTGACTGGCACTTCAAGTTGGAAAGAAAATCCAGTTAAGTCTGAGCTGCATGTTTCTGGAGAGACCAGATAAGAACAAAGCCAGAGAATGGAAAACGGCAACACGTGCATGCTACATTAAATCGCTGCCAACAATTTCTGAGCTTGTTAGGTAAATTTGTAACATTTAAACTCTTGGACAACTGTACTCAAGAAGTACTTGATTGAGGACAAACATGTGCAGTATTCTTTATCAATGGGGTTTCATTTATACACAAGCAAAATACTCCAATGTCACTATTAACATGTACATTCTTGGGCTTTGTTCACACCAAATCAGTCCAAAATCTTTTAGTAGACTAACAGCCCACAAGTAGAATCCTGGTGAATGTTCAAACATGATTTTCATACGTACTAGCACTGTCTTTCTTGTTGCCGTCTGATATAACCGCCACCTCATCGGTTTCAATGTCATATGTGAAGAAGTCGCTCAGGTAGTCTTTGCCTCGCTGGCCAGCAATGATGTACAGCTTTCGCAGGGTCTGGAAAGACAAGAGGTACACATGTATATTCTTCAGGATAAGCAATGTCCCACACTGCTTCAAGCCTAATAAGAGTTCATTTTTTGCTCTGGTTAACTGTTGCTCGAGGGAATGGGAACCCTATGTACCATACATGTAGGTATGATGGGAAACTTTTGGCACTGTAAATTTACATGCAGCCCAGTACTTGCACAACTTCAATGGAATCAGCATAAATTCAACAAGGTGAATTCAACAACGTAAATTCAACAAGGTGAATTCAACAACGTAAATTCAACAAGATGAATTCAACAATGTAAATTCAACAAGGTGAATTCAACAACGTAAATTCAACAAGGTGAATTCAACAACGTAAATTCAACAAGGTGAATTCAACAACGTAAATTCAACAAGGTGAATTCAACAATGTAAATTCAACAACTTAAATTCAACAAGGTGAATTCAACAGCGTAAATTCAACAAGCTCCCGTGAAAAATTATAAGCAAGTAACCTCAGATTACCTATTTAAAATGATAGGGAATGATGGGAACCTATTTCAAAACAGTGCGAGTTAATAACAATATGCAAATAAAACAACATATTAAATCAATTTATGCTGAAAGTTTTAACAGCGTTTAAGGATAAGTTCTTTCAATTATTTCAAGAAAGTACATGTAATGTAACATCAAAGGTTTTCAAATCTCTATGAGGATAGCATATTTCATAAGACCTAATGATCTCGATACCACCCCTTTGCAGTGCTGAACACCAACGGGAATCTTTGATTCTAATGCAGGCAATAAAATTCAAGGTATCCAACCTTGAAACTGTACGTTTGTGAAATGTTTTGGCTACTTAGGGATGGCAACAGGTAGGCCAATACAGTGCACAGAGTCAGAGTGGCTTACCGGATGGAGTAACATGGAGTGGCCTATTCTAGATTTGATGTCCTTGCCAGAGAGACTACTGGCACAGTCCCTGCGTAGGAGCTTCCAGGTGTTGGTGGGTATATGATAGGAATACAGACCGCTGAAGGACCCCTCGCTGGGCCTCTCCTCCGACAACAAGGTACTGGGAGGAGAAATGACGTGGAAAGGGTCAGAGTTTAGAAAGGTACCTATGGGACAGCTCCGAATGAGGCTCATTTTGCTAGTGATTGTCACGAAACAGTCTTATCTTCGGTGTGCTTGACTGGCCATCCAGTGCCTGTCAGATGATTTCATCCAGCATTGTTCCACGGAAACTACACTTACGTAATTTGTATTGAAACTTTGGCATCCAACAAGCCCACAGTAAAATTTGAAAGGAAACAAAATAAATTCTTTGCTCAACTAATCTTCAGACATTAAGGGGAAAAAAAATCTTCTACTAGCGAGACGGTACATGTATTTCTTGGTGGCCTCCAACAAGAGTCCAATGGAAAACCGATTTTTTTTGGTCACTTCATTCGAGCTTAATCGTGGATCTGGAACTGTACATTTACAAATTCACATGCTCTTTGACTGTTTAGTGAAACCTGCAGAACCGAACACAGTACGCTGAAGCAGCTGCCTCAACAATGTGTACAGTTGTCTAAATACATGAATGTCGTGCATTTTCTCATCTCCAGTCATTTTATAGTAGTTATTTAGTACTCAATACTGAATACCTTACTGAATAGTGGAATACAACCTCTTTAACCCTAAAAGAGCCGGGAGGGGCAGATACCCCACCAACATTTTCTCCAATATAGTTGCAGTGCATTTGTTTCAAATGCTGAACGTTATGGAGTTTTTCAGTAACATTTTGTGGCCATTTTGACACCAATTTTGTGAAGATCTGGCAATCAATGCTCAATGCACATGGGTCAACACATTTGAGGTCAGGAACTCAAATGACCATACGATCAAAACCCTTCGTCCCATTGAACAGAACCTTCTCCCTTGTACTCATAATGAGTGTCTCTACGTGCGTGCTGAGTTTCAAAACAACTGCACTTGTACCAGCTGAGTCCTTGGAGGTATCTACCCCACTGCTATGAGATGGTCCAACGTTTGACCTCTTTGAGGGTGACACATTTCACACATGGAAAGTAACTCGAGCTCCAGAGTTTGTGCGGTTTAATGGTACGTCAAGTAGGAAACAAAAGAAAAACCTAACAAAATCAGACAAAACCTGAAACGTCATTTGCAGCAGCTCACCTTGTCAGAATTCTCCCGCCAAAGACAAAGATGGTGGAGTTCTGGGAGTCCATGCACATCTGGTGGTCATATATGAGCTTGGGGCCCCCCTCAGTGCCTGTGTCTTCACATATAAGAAGCCACTTGTTGGTATCAATGTCGTATACATAAAAGTCACTCTGAAAAAGAAAATGTCAAGGTGGCTATAAAAATAAGCCTTGTTAAAAAAGAGCAAACTTTAAACTAAACTTTAGGCTGACCCAACAATTGAATTAGGCAACGGTTTCAAGCTTACACATACGATTTGGAACAACAAAGCTTGAGGGCTGAGATTAAAAAATAAAGGACTTTTCCACCGTAAGTCTACACTCTACAGTAATTCTTACCAAGAAATTTCTTTTATCTTCTAAAATACTTCAATGAAAGCTAATCCCATTCTTTGCAATGAAACTTTCTTGGTGCACTTACTCATCTTTGAAAATCCACTTACCTTGAGTGGATACACATTTCTGACAGTAGAGTCTAGGTACCGTCCTAATGTGAAGATCTGCCTCCGTTGTGGGTCAAGACACATCTTGTGACAGGAACGAGCCGAGGGACCACCCTAAATAAAAAGAAGAGACTGTCAATTGCTTATACATGTACAAGGAAAAACTTATATCATGATTCAACTCCTTTAAAATGAAAGAGGGTACATGCACATGTCCTATTCCTATTTGAATCTGAGAAAGGCACCGTTACAGTGGTTCCAATTGTTCATGCATACAATTTCATTCTTTGTTTCTAATATCTTTGACAACTTTGCCATGTGCATTTCTCATGCACATTGGGGTTGAAAACTTGATAACGATACTTTTCCCACCAAGTGTCAAAATATAAACTGAATTCATTCCAGGGAATTTTTCTTTATTTATTATATGTTCTTATTTCTATTTTAATATCTTATTGTGGAGATTCACCGTAAGTGCCCAGGTTTAAATTGGCCCGAGTAAAAGAAGGGAATTTCTGATTGAGAAGACATTGGGGAAACCCCCAAGAAAGTCTGTTCGGGTAAAATCCACAATAAGGCACATGTAGGCACCAAAACCTCAAAGCAGAACAGATAGGGTGGCCCAGGTAGGAAACGAAATGGGTACATCAGCGCTGAAGCAGAAGGAAGGAAAAGCAAAATGAGACACACTGAGTGCTCATTCTCTCTGGGTGGATGACAATCTCACTGACCCACGTGCACCCCTGAACACATCATACCTCTTTGGCTGTGTCCCTGAACAGGCAGGTCCACTGGCCCGTTGCCACACTGAAAGCCCAGAAGTCTGAAAGGTCCTGCACGCCGTCCCAGCCGCCATACAGGTAGACCGTCTCTGCATGACAGAGACACCATAAATACTAGTATTTCATGGAATTCGTGTACACACAGATGAAAATGCTTTCAAAGCCTGTTGCTTTGGAACTAGACAGAGTAGGGAAATAATGCTGCAGGATGCAGCAGATAGTTAACTACCGTACATGTACATTGTAAAGACAGATAGGGTAGAGTACACAGCTATGTTCTCTGTGACAAATGCACATATATGTATCAGGGTAGAGTGCCCCAGTGCCATTTTATCACTTTTTATTTACATCTTTTAGCCTAAAGTGCAGTAAGATTCTCTTTCCATGTGAAATGGTTTTGGAGTATGGGCTTCACAATAGCTTCTAAGGTTACTGGAATACATGTACAAGTATGTTAAACAACAGGTGAAAAATTGGCTTTGTGCATGCAGCTGTGCTCAAAGCCCTGGAACCCCAAATCAATAACAGCATTTACAGTCAGCTGCAGGATTACACACGTATACAGACAGTGTGATATAAAATGATGCATTTCATCATTTACATGTACATGTGGGTCAACATTTTGTTGGTATGCATGTAATGTTGTATCCAAATTCCAACCTACCTGGAGCATGGTACTATGGAATTTTGAGAACTGTATGCAATATTGCAAAGCATGCCACTCCACTGCTCACGCCAGGGAGTGGTAGTACATGTACGTACATGTGCATGTATGCATATATCATGTACAGTACATTACAATTTTTGCACACTGATCAAAAAGCACTTGTAGATGACCAATGTCCACCAATGTGAAGAAGTGGACTAGTTGGATTTTTTTAACTTTTCCTCCAATTTTAAATCTATCACAAGGTGGCTACACATACATGTACATATATTTATTAGGCCTATCTATTAACTGTTTCAAGATAGTTAAACTATTTCAAGGGCAGTAACATTGCTAAATGCAACAAGGTCTACACATCCATGATGCCAGGTTGCATCACACATGTCGGACAGTCAACTGCAACTAATATGGGTGTACGGCAATCAAGACAGAGACGAAAACAAAGGAACATCAGTGTTCTCCACGGCCGAAAACTTTGGCAGGGTGGCAGACAAAATTGTGAACGCGAAGCCCTCACAATCCAAATTTTGGGTTCTAGATGCTCTATGGCGCATTCTGGGGCAATTTCCAGTCCACTTTCGTCTGTAATTTGGCCCCAAATCTGATTGCATTTACAACGTGAAATATTGGCTAGGATATTCTTCAGGAGGAATTTCTTCATCGAAAGATTGGATGACGAAATTCTTTTAATTTCCGAACATTTTTAGCAGAACCTTAGTCATGTTAGTGACTTGAGACATGCTTGAGATGAGCAGAGCATGCGGTTTTCTCAATGATCAGTTAACTGTGAAAAGGCAGAGTAAAAACAAGCCTCAAAATGTGCCCTTGAATAGAAAAGGACAAAAGAAATATGTTCAGGCAAAGATAAGTTCACAATTTCCAGCTTGCGTCATAAAAATCCATCGAAAGAGAGCATGGGGGCCACTCAGGCATGGCACGGTCGTTCCACTGGCGCCAGCGAACACTCCGCAAAACAATGTTGCACCGCAGGTACCAGTCACATGCACTGCGTGTACGTGTACACGCTTGCACAATACAATGTACGTGTACGTGTACAAAACATACACAATGGTTTTTCGGGACACGAGGTTGACTATGCATCCAGGAGTGGGACCAGTCCACACCAATGCACATGCCTTACATAATGTACAGCGTCGTGCTGCATTCAACTCTTGGTGTTTCTTGTCATTTTCAGTACATTATAAGTGTCACCTGTAAACTCCAACTCGATCCACAAACTGCGGTAAACTTCTTTTTTGTTAAAATCTTGAGAAAGTAGACATTCGGGAAAAAAAAAACAATACTCAAAAAAAATAGCAGGGCGGCACAGATTTTAGTGGGGCGGCCCAGAATTTTGGCAGGGTGGTCCGCCCTGCTAAAACAGGCAGTGGAGAGCACTGAACGTATAGTCCAAAGGAACGTCTGTCAAAGATCTTGCAGTGGCTGCCAGGCTACATCTTCCATATGAGCTGTTGCATCTTGTAATGAACACTTGCCAGACTTGTCACTTTGACAGCTGTACTTGTGTCGTTCATGCATGTATTTACATGTACATGTATGCTCCTACACTGGGCCTTTACACGGTTTTTATCTAAAATGCTGTGGGTGTTACACGTGTACGTGTACAGTACAATTATCTGTACCAAAAAGAGCCAGGTTTGGGGGGACTGTCTCACAGCTGAGGAGGGGTGGACTCCGCCCCCTCCACCAAGAACTTGGCTATCCCATGCCCTATCTTTTTAATGTATACACGTAAAGACACTTTGTGTGAAGTTCCAACTCAGTCTAACTTATTGTTTTATGGCCATTTGAAATTCAAGGCCACACAACTACATGCATGCATGCATTGAACATGTCAATGGACAAACTATACATTTTTGGCTGATCTGCCTAAGAAAAATGGGTGCTGTGTGAGAGTGGTTTGCCTGATTTTCACAAAATTGGTGTCAAAATGACTCCACATTACTGAAAAAACACTCGAATGAGTCAGCACATGAAGAAGTTGTACTGCAATGATATCGGGAAAAAAACTCCAGGGGTGGGTGGCCACAGCACCCCTCCCCTTTTAGGGTTCAAGTACGTCCTTGGTATGTATGAAAGTCTAAGTGATGTCAAGCTATTACATGTACATGTAGTTTCTTCCCCTGACCTGTGTCAACGTCTATGCACATCTGGTGACCTCCTCGCTTCCCAGGTTTGGCATCGTCTTCCGTGGGGCCATACTGGCACAGCAGCCTCCACTGCGGCTGGTAGTCTTGCATACTGATGTACTCCTCAAAGTGGCCCTCCTGGGCGGCGCGCTCAATGATGCGCTCGCAGCAGTCAAAGTCACCGCGCATGACCTGCAGATGGGGCACGGGCAGAATGGAATGAATCCAGGGGCATCTTTGGTGACCCCCAGCACAGAAACACGTCTGTGATGTCAACCAGACATCGACAACGTGTTTGAGAAGAACTTTGCAGTGTGTTTTTAAGGCTTGGGTGCACTGCATGTGGTTTTGAAAATACTGGATCCCACGAAGCAGGGTTGAACCAAACCATGAATACTGCATGTATATGTATCCCTGCCCCAAATCCCTTACCAATTTCTCGTGGAGTTCGGATATGGTTGGGTGCTCCAGGCTGATTTTGGTCTTCTTTTGCAATGTCTCAAAGGCTTCGCTGTAGTTGTGCTGCCGCAGGTGTTTCAAGCAGAGACGGATTGCTTCCCGCTCACGATACTGCACAAAAGAGCACTGCCGTTATAAAACATGCAAATATATGTACAGGGGCAGTCTTTTTTCCAATGGTGATGTCCCTACATACTCCAGCAAGAGGACCTCAGAATTGTGTCCCCAGGCAAGACACTTTACTACTGCAGTTACATGCAAACACTCATTAGAAACTGTCATCTCCTTCCCACGTAAGTGGCATTGTACATGCACTTCAAAGGTCCTATCTTTATAGTCCTGAGAGTGGGAGAAAAGAGATTTCACATGTGTAAGTATGTACACTCAGGTACTACACGCAGGTGATACAAATCTGATCCCACTTACTTTGTTGTACTTGATGAGGCAGGGCTGAACCACGTCTGGGTCATCAATGCCGTTTATTGCAACATACCAAATGCTGAAATTGAAGCTAGGCCCACAGGATAACATAGGCACTGCGGGATGAAAACACACACGTCCACAGCACAGGATGTTGGTTACAAACTGAACATTTTAGCCCAGAATTCAAACCTACTGGTGCATACCGGTACATGTACGTATACATTTTTATGCATAACAAATAACCACAAAGTCAAAGAAAACCCAAATCTACATGTACATGGAATTTGCTATTCATACACATGTATGCATATATTACATTTTATGTCTTCTCAAACGTAATGCATCATTACTTTTTACCTATTTTGATGAATCTGCAAGGGACTTGACATCCATTGACCACATGTTTTAGTGGAAACGTCTCCATGTTGCTGTCATTTTCTAAACCGCTGTTGAAAACAAAATTAAAAGGGTCAATGTGACCGTTACATTCTCCTAAATCTAACAGAAAACTCTGTCCTTTTTGCCAACATTTCATGTAAAAATCTCCAGGGAGAATGCAAACCTACATGTCCATGTACTACTGTATGCCACTGCTGGTTGTATTTCATGGAGCTGACGCATACATGTACATGCATGTACATTAAACCCTCCCGTGCAAAGATGCATTCTTGACAAAGTTGTCCTATCAATCAAAATCGGTCAAATGACGCTCACAGAATGTGTCTTTGTACTGGGGCAAACCAAGTGGAAGGAATTGTTAATTGTCTGTGACTGTTACAGCAAAAGGAGGGTTAATTAATTAACAATAATAATCATACCACAGTATTTACGTGTATGAGACACATACATGAAGTACAATAGTCGAGGGTGAGATTCAAGGAAATGAAATATCCACAAAATTATCGCCATATTCTTTGAGGGCTCCGCAGCAATATACAGGTACATACGTAGGTAACAATATCGTATACATGTACATTTATGAGTGTATGAAGGTGGCCCAGAAAATACCCATTTCTTGTTTTCTGCAGTGACTTCTATAATAACAGTTTAATAGTAATCTCAGGTTTTTCCAAATCCTGGTGAAAAGTTTAGGAAAATTCTGATGAAAATATCCTGAAATCAGGAGAAATCCTTACAAATCTCATCCATGAATACCAAATAGAGTCTGTCATTCAAAAGTGCCAAAATTATCATTATCCCTGCACACTGGCCTCACAATATCTGAACATCCCTGAAACCATCTCAGCTCCCTGGAAGTATACTAGCTTGATGCTGCCATCTCAGGCACAAATACATGCAGCTGCATGTAAACAAACCTGCATGTACCAGTACATGTACATGTATATCTGTCCACACTGGTAGGCGACTCCTGGGTGGACAGAGGCACGCACGTGTAAAGCAACTTGAGTCCCAACATGTGACCACTTGCCAGGATCTGAACCCTAGACACTAGGATCAGAAGCTACAAACTCTAACCACTAGGCCACACGTCCCCCATGAATGTCATGCATGTGAATGTTGTGACAACAAAAACAAGTTATCCACTTGAAATATACATGTAGGTGTCCATATCACATGAATATTACATGTACCTCTGTAGTTTAGGACTTGCAGTACTTACATGTCCATGTATGTGAGGGAAATGTGGGCAAATTAGAAACTGCTTTGAACTGTTATGTACACATGTATGTACCTTATGTGAGCACCTAAAATTCAACACATTGATTTTTTGGCAAACATAATTTGGTAGGCCAGGTGGTTGCAAGAGTCAATAAAATTTGTCTTTAAAATCAGCCACATGTAGAGACAGTTTCAAGTGTTGGAAAGATCACCTGTTGGACCACGCAGTCCATTGGGGATCTGTGTCCAGCATTCCCTTGGGTAAATGCATATGCACATGAGGAATCTTAAAAAGTCCAGGTCTGGTGGCTCTGTCTCTGCGTTGCTCTTGACATACCTGGTGAGTAGCTCCACCATGTGCTCCTCGGTCATCCCTGCATAGATCTTGAACTTCTTGAGGTTACAAACGTGCGTCTTCTCGTACTTGCCAAAGGAAACCCTATCTACAAGGGAGCATTTTTCCAGTTTCAGGGTCAGATACTGCGGATTTTGAAAGGGAAAAATTACGTAAGATTGAAGTACATACACGAACATGCACACGAGTAACAAATTGATTTCATGTCGGCCTTCATACCCATCTGAGTGTGAGTCACATATATGTACAGGTACAGGTAAGCGTCTTGTTGGATTGGGTGAATGAAAGCTCTTTCTACAATACCATATTGTTTCTTTTTCATTAAATGCATATTCAGTTAACTTATTCAATTTCATATTCAATTGTGTACATTATCTTAATTCATTTCCAGTAAATCATTTTCTTTTTACATCTAAATATTTCTAAGTTCTAACTTTTGGCTTCAAATACTTTTATATATTAGTGTTTTTATTTATATTTATTTACTCCATACACAACTTGATGAGGAGTGGCAGGTGTTTGGTCAGTGATTGTTATTGCTTTTGCCTCTTCTTTGCTATCTTGTATGTGATGAAAAAATAATCAGCATGAATAAATGATAATAAAAAACTCTTTGTTCCCGCTCGGAGCAAAGAGGACACAATATACAGTACCAGCAAATTCACCGAAGTGTTCTGCAACTCTCTTCAACTGGATAATAAAACTAAATAGCAAGCTTAACAGGAACATGTACATGCACATCAGCAAATAAATGCATTTCTTTCATCTCGTCATTATATAATCCCTCCTCATGTACAATGTACATGGTGTATCTCCGTGGCTGCCACAATTTTGAATAATTTGCTCATTTATATCAAGCAGGTCAAAGTGCCCTATGGGGCCACCTTGGCAAAGCAGAGCAAACGGAACGGTGCCCACAACAGGCAAACCTGGAACACCTGCAATAAAGTACCGTTACATGTATGTACTGTACGTGTCCAAACATACCTGAGGAGGGCAGTTGCTGTCCGAAGACCACCGGGAAGACTGATCATGGGGTGCATCAACCAAAATATTCCTGAACATCGACAGTGATAAAATGATAATTAAAACAATATAAACACAAACACAACTTTATAAATGGTCTTTTACAGTGCCATTCAAGTAAAAAAATGTTTGGTCGACAAAATGGTAGATGATAACCTCTCTGTACAGTGTACATTGTAGCTGAACGTACATGTGCACTGTATATAATCTGTAATATACAAGTACACGTATCATATAAACTACAATGTACATGTACATGTACATGTATACGTTAAGAAAACAGTGAATTTTAGGGCATTACAGGAAAGCAGTCATTGCTTGTAACCTAATGTACATTTATTTCACAATGTACGGAGAACAACTTGTACCAAGTACATGTACAATGTACATATCTACACATTTAAGGCACTGAACATGTATGTATACATTTTGTACATGTAAATGTACAAGGTACATATTCACGAACATGTATAGAAATACTGTAACAACATCCTCAACACAAATCTTTTATAATCTTTAATTTCTTTTCCAAAAGCCCCCCAAAACAGTCTGTAGCGAGTGACCCTCTAACATGTCTAAGGAGTGCAGTCAAACTACACTGTACATGTATACGTACATTGCAGACGGGCCATTCTATGGCGACAAATGAAACTTGCATGACAGAGTGGAGAGAAGTGACATGCATTTTTAAAAAATGAATTGCGTTAGAATATAGGCCATCTCATCTTCTGAGAAAGTGATTTTTTTCTCTGTATGTACGCACAGAAACAATCAGTAAAAAGTTGACTTTGTCATGACAGGTGGGGCATTTTACAACATTTGCTGCAGAGTTCTTCAGAGTGTAATGCTTAGTGCAGAATGTTTAGGCACTTTGAATTTCACACAGAAAGGATGGCAATGCTTGATGACTTACTCTGGTATATAATTGGAAGAGTAACTGGACCATTTCTCAATGGTGTAGGTCAGCTTATGAGACTGAGGGTCTAGAGCTGGCACTGGGAGCAGCTTTCTGTCATTATCTGCAGGTTGGCCTGGGTGTGCCATGCTACCGTCTATTGTCAATGAATCTTGTCATTGGCTGAAAATAATAACAGAAAAAAGAAAATGTCCATGTCTGCACGTACCGGCAGGCCTACATGTTTGGGTTGAATATTGTTGTAAAAAATACTGTAGGATATCATAAACAGTACATGTATGATGTACATCGCAATTCGAAGACTGTCTATAGATTCGGAGAAGTCCCTTTAACTGTTTAAGAAAGACAGAATGTCTCCTCAAAAGAAGATGTTTTTCCCAAGAAGGCTTGGATCAAAAATATCCACAAGCTACTATCAATTTTTCTCCCTTACATGTATGAACTTTGTGCCATTACATGTCATTATCCATGAACATGTAGAGGACTGACATTCACAAAATGTTTTTGATGCGGGTTTTTCCCCACCTTTTATGTGCTACTGCAGATTTCTGCTTGTAATCCCAGAAGTAAACGGTCAAATTTTTTTAAACAGCAGCCTTGGGTGTTTCTAAGGCTGAATCCAGTTAATGCATTAAAAGGATCTTAGGGCAATGGTAGGATCCCCAAGAACATCCCCCCCCAAATTGTCCCCATTTAGAGGGATATTCTCTCTTTTGGGGGACTGATTTTGTCTCTGAATAAAGGGACTTCTCTGAGTTTAGGGACGGTCTCTGAGTTGTGATATGCGCCTCTGTCAAATCAACTGTTACAAGACAAAAGTCAAATGCATGATTGTAAATACGTGAACATAGACTTAGGACATGTACATGTATATACCGGTACAAGTACTGTACGTCCTAGCATGCTTAGGCCTACATGTACAGTTGTATGTGTAAGCCTACATGTACATCACAGTATCACACCATGTACATTTGCACATACAATACATGCATACATGACATGCATGATTAGGGGCCTTTGTACAATGTATCTCTGGAAAGAATAAATAAAATCCTACAAACAGTAGTAAACTACAATTTGTAAAACTTCGTGAACATAATGAATGAGACTTCTATGCTCCTGTCACTTCAAAGTGTGAATGGTAAACATGACAATGACAGGCCTAAGTAACCAATAATGTACATGTACATGTATTTCCCGTTCTGTCACCATGTTGATTTTAGCACTCCTGCGGGAGTAAGTGAACAAAGCTGTAATAACAATCATGAGCATCCATTCACTAAACGTTATGCAACATTGTTGTCATGAATTTGTTCCCCTCTGGAAATCTTCTGAGCATGCGCACATGAAATGTGAAAAAGGCTTATGGAAAGAGTTCTAGCTCTACTGACATGATTGAGTGGAGCGGTAGTATTCCTCTTTCATTAATTTTGGACAGGATTGTCATACTAACGTTCCATGCCTGTACATACACTGTAGAGCAAGGTGAAAACGGTTCTAAAAACTCCAAAGACTCACCCAAAATACCTGTATCACGACCTACTGTCTTCTGTAAATGCCAAAGAGTTATCAGCCAGAAACTCTACATGCCCGAATATGAATGGAAGGAGGCAATGAAAAGTTTAAGTGCTGTGCATGTGTCAAGCAAAAACGGTCGGATTTTGACAGATTTTGAAGACAGAAATATCATTGAAGCCCCAACTGTTTGACATTAGCATTTATGGAAGCCAGTAGGTGGTACCGGTAATTGAGGTATTTTTGTTGAGTCTTTGGATTTCTTGAGAACAGTTTTCACCTTACTCTATATACAGGCGTGGAGCATAAGTATGACGATCCCGTCCAAAATCATAAAAAGAAGAATACTAAAGTTCCACTTAGTAGAGCTACATGTAGAAAGAGTCCCATCCATGTCCATGTGCAGACGCCACTTGACATCCCGTGCATAAACCCTTTGTGGCTTTGAAACTGGTCTGAAAAATTGTGTTTTCTAACAAACATTAAACAAGGTATTTTCCCTCCAGGCTAAATTGAACTTTTCTGGAGGTCACTGTAGGGAATATCCCCACCCCACCCGAACAACGTGAGTGAAATCATTCAAATAATGTGTCAACTGTCACTAGAAAGCGGAGAGACATTCTTTCCAATAGGCCTACTGTACATTAATATTAACATGGCCAAGTTGGCAAGTAACATTAATAGTACCAAACAGCAGTTGGTTCCATGGCCATGGGAGTAGGCCTACGTACCGTAGCCAAAGCTCAGGGTAGGCCTAGGCCTAAAGTAGGGCTAGGGGCGTAGTTCATGTTGTTTGTTATTATTACCTCATATCTGCTCATGACATGCCCAGATGCCTGAGAGTGAAGGCCTTACTAGCCTAAGGATTACGTGTTGTAACGTAACTATTCGAGATCGTTAGAACGATAAAAACAAAAAACTGCCGTCTACTTACAATATATGAGGGTAAAATTACTTCTTCTTAGTTCTAGCTTGCTAGCAATTCAAAGTTCAGGATCAAGTTTTGAAGTTTCGAATATCGGAAAACTGTCATGGCTGCTTATGCAGAGCGCCCTCATTAGACAAACCTTTTTTTTTAACTGTCGAACATCCCTTGCATGCGCATGCGCATGCGCGCGGCTAGCTAGGCCTACAAGGGTGCAGTGTCCCAATTCAAGGAAAATTCTCCGCCAGCCGAGACGCAGAAAAATTCTCCGCCAGGCCGAGGCGCAGAAAAAGTACCCCCAAAGATTGTTTCAACAAGAGGAGTCTGTTTGGGCCAAGAAATGGTGGAATTGTGTCAGTATGGCTCAGGATCATCTCTGTAGATTCAAAGGCACCCATCCGGGTGCAAAGCAGACAAAAATGGGATTGAAAATTAGTCAGAAGAGCCCCGGAGGGTGAGGGATGTCATTTGAAAAATGGCCGCTGGGAGGGCTTGGCAACATTCACTTTTTTGGGGGTAAGTTTGTTTTGGGCGGATAATTAAAAAAATCATTGGTTAACCAACTAAAAATTGAAAATCAAATGAAATCTGAAGGACCAAACAACACATTGTTTTTTGTTTGAG